GACAATTCACGAAGGTACAAGATATTTCCAGAAAGCAGGGGGCGTGACACTAGTCACGTGACCTCGCTGACGCAACAATATATTCATTAAAGTTAGATACAAAAAAGTTAAAATATTTCTCTATAAAATAAATATGGTAAGTTGTTGGCTTCCAAGAAACTTTTTAAAATAATAAAATTAAATATACATTTTTATATTACTATTTTGAGGTCAGATAAACAAGAATAAAATAATAATGAGTTGTATTTTTAATACTAATGATTGTCGATTTATGATAGTTGTAAATGGACTTTAGCTTCGTATATTTACAATCATAGATGTTTTTATTTGAAATTCACTAGATAAAATAAATTTGTTTCTATTTCACCGTTGTGTCTTAACAGTGATTATATTTTATTGCATCGCGTTGTAGTGGCAACTAGCAAATAAAAACATCTATGATTGTAAATAAACGAAGCTGAAGCCCATTTACAACTATCATAAATTGACAGTTATTAATATTAAAAATACAACTCATTACTATGATATTCTTGTTGATCTGATCTCAACATAATCATATAAAACTTGTTTTATGCTGTTATAGTTAGTGTTATTTTCCGAATAGTATGATCACGTAATTGTCCTCTGTATTACATCATCTTTCTAAACTCACGCGACAAAGCTCCCTTAAAACGATCAATGCGGCCGCTAAAGTTGAATAGGCCAATAGTACTAGTGTCAAAATTGTACATGCGCATTGGATGATGGCGCTAGAAGCCGGTTTGTACTACGAGAGAGTGTGTTGGGTTGTAGTAAGCTTGTTGGTTGTGGGATTCGAGAAGCAAGCTGTCGTTGACCCGCGTGTTTAGCTGACTAATCAAAAGTTGAGCATTGGCGTGTGAAATATTTTTCAGATAATTAAGCCTAACAAAGAGTTGAAAGGAAAATCAATATCCAGCAAAAAAATCTACGACTGAAACGTACTCAAGGGCTAAAATACTATCTGTTTGAGTTATAGCCTATCTTGTTTCAAAATCTGAGCATTGCCAGTACTTTTGTCAAATATTTCATTCCTAATTCGCCTCTCTATTACCAACATTCAATATGGGTGACGCAGCTAAATACGCAGAGGTTTCTCAAAGAGAAAACAAAAACTATAGTGAAGAAAGAACTGAAGATAATAAAAAACCTAAAGATGATGATGTAATATGTTTAAAACCTAAAATGACTTTAGTCAATGGGATAACCGTGATTGTCGGAAGTATTATCGGATCTGGTATTTTTGTTTCGCCAAAAGGTGTTCTCTTAGGAACAGGTAGCGTGGGTATGTCAATTGTAGTGTGGATTGTGTGTGGAATTTTTTCTTTGATTGGAGCCTATTGTTATGCAGAATTGGGATGCATGATAACAAAAACTGGAGCCGATTATGCTTACATTATGACATCATTCGGCCCATTTGTGGCTTTTCTTCGTCTGTGGGTGGAATGTATGATCGTCAGGCCATGTTCTCAAGCTATTGTGGCTCTCACGTTTTCATTTTATGTTCTACGCCCGATGTATCCAAACTGTGAGCCTCCAGATGAAGCTATCAGATTTCTAGCCTGTCTCTGCATTTGTGAGTTTGTATTATAAAATCATATTTTAGATGTATTATGCTTTTTTTTTTTTGTAAATGAATTTTAAAGCATCGTTTTAAGCCAATTAAAGCTCTTGGACCACCATATGGAACGTAAATAAGCACCCGTGACTATGTTTCTGGTTCTACAAGCTCTAGTTTTAGTTTACTAAATTAAGTAAAATGAAAGTTAAGGTTTAGGTACAGTTTTTCTTGGGATTATAATAATTTCACTGCATTTATAATATTTTGATATGGTAATACAAAATAAATTAATATCATAACTTAAGAGGCTGCCAGGTAGGCTCGTGTGTAAAACTGGTTTGTGTGCCACGTGAGATTTAATGCTCTCCTTGACTGGAGGTTTAAAGCTCAACTGAAGCAGACAAGTTACTCGTCTTGATGTAGTAGTTCAAGTACTAGCAGTATAGAGTTATTATGCCAAAATTGGCGAAGCATGCCTTTGTAGTCTAAAACCAGACGAAACTGCGCATTATTTGGCTGTTAAGATATTCCTTTTACGTGTTAGTATTTTGCGTATAATGTGATCTTATGTTTGATTAAAGTGTTTGAACAGAAAATATAACAATATGTTGAGGCTCAATCATAATAATTTAATATTCTTGTGTCGTATCTGTATTAAAAGCGTTTTAAAAGAAGAATTTGTCTATTATTAATAAATTCATACAGAAATGTTAATGGATGTTTTGTGAAAGTCGTACAAAGTAATACCACCACTATGCTTATGACAAAGTAGTGGCAAAAGCTCAGCATTAATTTTTACTTATAATTTCGTTAGATGAATTAATACAAAGTATAAAAATAATACTTGCAAGGTAAGAATTACATTTGAATATTAGAATTTAAAATCTTTTAACTCTTTATATCGGTAAGTGTACTTGATATTATTCAGAATACATTAAAAGTGTTTCTAAAAATTTTAAACGTTTTTATTATCATATTTACTGTTTCCTATTTCAAAACTGTTCTAATGTAGTGATTTTTATGATTATTTTCGATAAAAAGTCGTGTAGTATTTTAATTTTTCGGTTAATCCACGAATGCTGCAAATAGAGAAATAATTACATGCGAAGTGGAAAATATCTTACACTAGTGCG